CTTCCATAGTAATTCTGGCATGTCCAATGCAGGTTGGTCAATTGCAAGCTCAAAAATAGCACGGGCTCGTTCTGTTTCATCCAAAGACTTCTCCAACTCGGCAAATTTAGTCCATGCATAGCAGTTTTCTGGAGACCATTCTAGGTATTTCTCATAAAGTGTTTTCGGCAACGATCTATGTTACCCAGGTGCAATTCTATTTCAATGTACTTCTTGAATATCTGTAGGTTGCAAGAATACTAGTCAACAGATCATTATCATTAAATGAAGAAAAGAAAGAGAAACACAGGCAATCCAAGAGATGAGTTCGGATCAATCTGGCAGCTTTCAGCCTTAACTTACGTATTTCAAACTGGGCAGCTAATAACCAAATCTTGGCAAATGAAAATTTCTGGTGAGATAAAATTCAGACATTCCCGGGCAATAGTAAAATACAAAATTTAAAATTCAGACCCTCCCGGGCAATAGTAAAATACAAAATTCAGACAAAATTTATTGTATATCCTAACGACATGTTTCTTTCTTGAAAGCTTATATATTTGATGAGTGATTCTGAAGCTTTACTGTACTCTGGAAACAACTTTAGAAAAACAATACACACTACATCATGTGCAGACTACATTAATAGAGGCATATCTCGAGCGTGCATAATTAATCGTAAGCATACAAAAACTTAACCAATCAGTAAAATTTCAATAATAGCATTAGAAGAGATAATATTAGTATGAGACCACTATTCTTACCACAAATAAATATATTAGCAATTGCTCTCTCATAGACCTCTCTAATCATCTCCTTAATTCCCACACTTTCCTTCAGCCGTATGTAATCAACAAACTAGGCATCATAATTATGTGTATTGTTCAGTGAAATCCTAAGGTGAATGCATGGAGATTAGATATGCCAAGTTTGAAATGAAAAATAGGGAGGTTGCCCGGGTAGGAGTTGTTATGAGAGGGCAAGGGATAAGTTGGCTGGTGATAAGGAGGCAGAACAGTTATTTGTTCTGCCAACTTATAAACTCTTCTGCCTCCTCTCACCAGCCAACTTAGCCACCAACTTAGCCACTGGCTTCTCGTAACAACTCCTAGCCCTAGCAACCTCCCTATTTTTCATCTGCATATCTAATCCATGCACTCACGACACTGAACAAACTTGATATAAGAGAGCCAACCCTGTTGGTCAGGCTGCCAGGCCATCCATCTCTGGAATACCTGCCTAGCACCCGCAGGCCGCAACATTCCCCAACATCTCTTCCATGTGAATGTACTTATACCAAAGCTGATTAACCCTAGGCAAGAGGGTAACAGCTCTGTCCCACACATTCCGAGCATGGTTTATGAACTTATTCTTCATCTCCACCTCTGCATAATTAAGCCAAATTGTTGGCTCACGATAGAAGATCTCCAGCGCCCGCTCCCAAACAGAGCGGGCGCGGTTGAAATCCTTCTGGGAGTCCTCCCACCTACCATACTTCACCCAGACACCCTTGTTCCACCGCACACGGCGGATTTGGTCCTCAAACTCCTTGCGCTTCTGGAGGCGGTAGTCAGCAAGTTCTCTGGAATCAGTAATTTTCTGCTTAGGCGGCCGGATTTCTGCCTCCTGTCTCTCCCTTCCCTTGACTCGCGGAGAATTTGCTCCGCGGTGATTTGAATCGGAGCAGGGGTCTTATTCTTCACCCGGGTAGGCCTTGGCAGCTTGACCTCCGTTTCTTGGCGGGTGAGGTACCCTAAATTTGGATCTGAATATCTGATTCCTTGTCTTTCACCATAGCTGCTGACTATAAGGGGTGTTTGGTTGGATGGAAAACATATAAGGGGTGTTTGGTTGGATGGAAAATGATGTTTTATGTTGTTTGATTGGATGAGAAATATTTTTTATTGAATAATTTTTTTCTTAAGAAAGAAGAAAATTAATTCCTAACCCATCATATGTATTTTGTTTTTCATGAAAAACTAATATTATAATTTTACCTTCACCATTCTTTATTAATTACTCTTATTATTATTATTATATTATTGTTGTGTAGGATTATATTTGACATTATACTTATTATTTCTTATAATTCCAAACTCAACCAAACAATGAAATTTATATCCCCAACAATTTCTTTTTCGCCAACCAAACAATTGAATCTATTTTCTTGAAATTTATTTTCAATGGAATTTCAATATCATTTCCCTTCAAATATTTTCTAGCGAACCAAACGAGCTGTAATAGAGGTAGAGTTCGAGAATAGTTTTCCGAAAAACTGATTTATCTGAGGGGTTTTTAAAGACTATGAACTAGGGTTCGGTTGGGACTAATTATTTTATAATTATCTACAAATTTAATAAAAGTCAATAATGTTAGGTCCTTAACTACAAAAAAAAAAAAAAAAATGTAGGTGTAATTGTTTCTTAAAATGTAGAGAACTATACAAAAAAAAAAAAAAAAAAAAATCACAAAGACTGTACCTAATTTGTGGGTATTTATAAGCAAGCTAAGGAACATCTAAAATGTAGAGGTGCAAAGTGACTTTGCTAGACACAAATTTTGAATTGAAAAATTTTAATTAAATGTAGTCAGTACAAGAAATAATGTATTTGGCTGTCCAAAAGTATTAGAATTTGCATATACTAAACTATTACACTAAATATAATGTAATATTAGTAAATGCATGCTATATGTAATGTTTAAGGTTTCCAAGATAATATATTTCTTTAGTGAATGCAGGTCATGCATGTTGCTGGAAAATCCAACTGTACCGACAGGAATTGTTCCGAAGTGAATTTTATGATCATGAACGACGGCAAATTATGTTGTGCATCCGTATGCACCATGCATGGTGAATACGGATGCAAAAACGACATCGTTTTGTATCAAAACGCGCGTCCTACTTAAAAAAAAAAAAAAAAAAAAAAATCAATTTCGATTCCCAGCAACAACATTATGATATTCATTTCTTAGTTCATTCATTTTGAATTTTTAGTTATGAAATTATGGATGTATAGTTATGCAATTCTGGATGTATAGTTATGAAGTTATGGATGTGTAGTTGTGCAATTCTGATTTATAGTTATGAAGTTATGGATGTGTAGTTATGCAATTCTGATTTATAGTTATGAAGTTATGGATGTGTAGTTATGCAATTCTGATTTATAGTTATGAAGTTATGGATGTGTAGTTATGCAATTCTGGATTTATAGTTATAAAATTATGGATGTGTAGTTATGCAATTCTGGATTTATAGTTATGAAATTGTGGATCTGATGAAATTATGGATGTGTAGATGTGTAGTTATGCAATTCTGAATTATTTTTTTTAAGTTAGACGTCAAAACGACGTCGCTTTTGCATCCGGATGCACCAAGCATGGTGCATACGGATGCACGGCATAACGATTGATGAACGACAACATTGGCCTCCCTTTTATACACTCAGCCTCAACGGTAACTCAACAAATCCGGTGGTTTGGACCAATAGACGCCATCGAAACTTCCGATCAGGGCCAAAAATCAGGGCCCTTCTACGGCCCAATGATGAGGCGCAGAACAGACCTGATGATTGCCCGAGTTTTTCATCACCAAAGATCAGATTATTAATATTATTAATATTATTATTATTAGAAAAAATCATGTTATTAGTTTTAAAGATTGCGCTTTTTGTAGGGTCTCATTTATTTACCAGAACCGGACCACAAAAATTTAATAATCCACCCTACATACAAACACAGAAGACACCTCTCATCACAGTTTACACATTTAGATTTCAGCAGATCTTTAGTAGGACGAGTCATGGTGCAAGCTTGCCAGAGAAAAGTTTTTACCTTCTGGGGTATTTTGCTTAACCAAATTCTGCTCTAGTCTTGGGTCTCATTCTCATTTAGTTCACCACATATTGCTCTATAACAGCTTTTTCACATAGAATTGGCCATCAGTTCCAGGACCCCATATAATCTTGTCATGCATCTGTTGTCTAGGGAGCGGAATCTTCAAAATCAGTTCAGCATCTCTCTGGTTGAAGATCAATCTGATGGACTCTTTGCCCCACTTCCACTTGTGATCTAATGAGTCAATAAGATCCGCCATCGTTGCATTAGCCATTAACGGAAATGATGAAGATTCCTAAAGCCAAGACCAATACATGCTTTGAGGAAGTCTTATTTTATATATTAATAAATAACTAAATAGTTATTTAGAAACTAATAAATAGTTATTTAGAAATTACTAAATAGTTATTTACCTTATTATTCTTAGTCTTCGAATTAATTTAGGTAGTTTAATTATTTAGAAGATTTCAATAGATTACTTAGCTTATTTAGTCATTCTATGAGTTGTATTTTACCCTAGAAAAAGAGAGTATTATTCAGAATAATAACAAGCAGAAATTTAATCCCAAAAAGGGTCTAAGGGAGTTTTGGGTCTCAAGCAAATCCAGTGTCTTCTTCTTTTCCTTTTCCAACTATTATTCTTTCTTCCTTTTTCCCTATGTTTTCTTGCCCATGACGGGAGCACATAACAGAATCCCACTGGAAGCCCAAGATAACGACTTGATCTTTCACTGCTTTGGACTCCGAGAATCCCACTCATTCTCATTATTTCACTCTCTTCCACATTCCTGCTGAATATAATGGCTGATTTGTTGAAATTTATGCTCTGTCCAGAAGCCTTTTCATACTCCTAGAGTAAATGTTTCAGACTGGAAGCATAGCTGAGATTAGCCTTGAAAAAATGTAACTATTATCTGCAAAGAAAAGGTGGCTAACAGTGGGGGCATTCCTAGCAACAGAGATACCATAAATTTTTCCTCTCAATTCCTTTAACATAGCACTAAAACCTTCAGCTACAATGATGAAAAGGAAGGGGATATAGGATCACCTTGTCTAATCCCTCTATTGTATCTAACAAATTAACATTCATAAAATAAACAAAAACTGAAACAAATAAAAGTCATAACATCACATTGACAATAAAACATAAATTTCTTGCTTTTATACAAAACCAAATTTTCAAGAAATACTAAAAACAGAATTTTCATGATCTCCTTTACCAAACCAGCCAAATTCTAAAAATGATTACAAGTTCAGAAGCTAGGTATTCTCAACAGATATCTTTTGCTTTTTCCAAACTAAACTGCCCCAAGTCTAAAAATGATTATAAGTTCAGAAGCTAGTCATCATCAGTAGATATCTTTTGCTTCTTCCATTTATATGCAGCTTCCAAAATTTTAAGATTTGTGGTCTGTGTCTCTTCAGGGAATAGGTAATCTATGTATTCCTCATACCCTGCTGGACCATCCTCAGTTTCTATTTGCCGCCTCTTTTTGAGTTTTTTAGGTAGTTTGGCACGGACCAATCCAACATCGCCGACATCACCAAAGCTGCTTTCCATGTTTAACCATTCTTCTAAAAGCATCGCCCTCTCCTCTTTTAATTCAGGTGCTGAAGTTCTAAAGTAAACTAGTGCCCTTTCAAAGACCCCTGGTACATCAACGAAAAAAAAGTTGGTTAATGATTTAGGTAAAAAAAGTTGGTTAATGATTTAGGTTAGGTGTGAAAAAAAAGCTAGTGTAAAACAAGAGCAAGTTCAGATTTCTGACCTCTAGCCCGTTGTAAACATTCTTTTTTCTGTTCAGGACTGACTTCTTGCTGGTCTGAGTTTGAGGAATCCCCTTCAAACTTTGCATAACTAATCCATACTTTCAAGTGTTTTGTGCGGCTCAAAAGCCGCTCATACAATGCTCTAGTCCTTTCATATTCACCTTCTGATATCTCGAAGTCAATATATGCCTATCATAGATTGAAGAATAGAACAAAATATAAATATACATATTTAATCACAATTAGTCACAGGCTACATATAGTCCCAAACGAAGAAAGAACTTTGCAATTACAGTATGCACATCCCCAGTTCCAAATGTTTTAATGTCCTTGGACCTAAAATCACCCATTAATCATTACATAATATGCATTAAAATAAGTAAAAACTCAAGAGGATATTGAAATGCACTTGTTCATAATCACTTTTCCCTTGTGTGTTTATATATGGGGAATCTAAACCAGAAACCGATTTGATTTTCACCTAGAAAAGAAATCACCCCAAAAGGCACATGCAAGTAAAATGAGATTACGCATAGAACTGCTAGGCCCTTACTAGCAACCCCAAGAAATCATGTGAGAATATAGAAAAATTAGCTGAAATACCTTCCATAGTAATTCTGGCATGTCCAATGCAGGTTGGTCAATTGCAAGCTCAAAAATAGCCCGGGCTCGCTCTGTTTCATCCAAAGACTTCTCCAACTCGGCAAATTTAGTCCATGCATAGCAGTTTTCTGGAGACCATTCTAGGTATTTCTCATAAAGTTTTCGGCAACGATCTATGTTACCTAGGTGCAATTCTATTTCAATGTACTTTTTGAATATCTGTAGGTTGCAAGAACACTAGTCAATAGATCATTATCATTAAATGAAGAAAAGAAAGAAAAGAAAGAGAAACACAGGCAATCCAAGAGATGAGTTCAGGGTACTATTAATGGATAGAATGAAAGACACCTTGTCTTTAGGAGCCATTCCAATTGCCCGTCCAAGGATCAATCTGGCAGCTTTCAGCCTTAACTGACGTATTTCAAACTGGGCAGCTAATAACCAAATCTTGGCAAACGAAAATTTCTGATGAGGGATCAAATTCAGACATACCCTGGCAATAGTAAAATACAAAATTTATTGTATATTCTAAAAAGCTTATATATTTGATGAGTGATTCTGAGGCTTTACTATACTCTGTAAACAACTTTAGAAAAACAATACACACTACATTAATAGAGTGAAGGCATCTTACGTGTAGACTTCTCTAGTGCGTTCCATGTCTTGTGCATCAAGTTCCTCATATAAAGCATAATTAATCCTAAGCATACAAAATTTAGCCAATCAGTAACAGCTAATAAAATTTCAATAATAACATTAAAAGAGACAATATTAATATGAGACCACTATGGCTTACCACAAGTAAATATATCTCTGCCAATACCGTTTCTCTTCAGCAGGAGGTATATTAGCAATCGCTCTCTCATAGACCTCTCTAATCCTCTCCTTGATTCCCACACTTTCCTCCAGTCGTATATAATCAAACCACGCATCATAATTATGTGGATTCTTTCTAACCTCATCCTCATATTGAAACCTCCTCTTCCCAACAATAGCATCCTCAATGCCATCCTTATCACCATATTGCTTCTCAAAAGCCACATACTTCTTATATAAATCCTCAGCCCGGCCTTTTGGTATATGATCGAGTGCAAACTTATATATGCACCTAGCCCTCTCTGCCTCTTTGCACATCTCTTCGAACTCTGCAAATGACACAAACAACTGCTCTGCCTCCTCGTCATCAGCCAACTTATCCACTGCCCTCTCATAACAACTCCTAGCCCGGGCAACCTCCCCATTTTTCATCTCAAACTTGGCATATCTAATCCATGCACCCACTTTTGGATGGCACTGAACAAACCTTTCAAATATTTCTCTAGCACGATCAACCTCATTATACCTTAGCTCAAACTTGATATAAGAGAGCCAACCCTGTTGGTCAGGCTGCCAGGCCATCCATCTCTCGAATACCTGCCTAGCACCCGCAACATTCCCCAACATCTCCTCCATGTGAATGTATTTATACCAAAGCTGATCAACCCTAGGCAAGAGAGTAACAGCTCTGTCCCACACATTCCGAGCATGGTTTATGAACTTATTCTTCATCTCCACCTCTGCATAATTAAGCCAAATTGTTGGCTCACGATAGAAAATCTCCAGCGCCCGCTCCCAAACCGAGCGGGCGCGGTTGAAGTCCTTCTGGGACTCCTCCCACCTAGCATACTTGACCCAGACACCTTTGTTCCACCGCACACGGCGGATTTGGTCCTCAAACTCCTTGCGCTTCTGGAGGCGGTAGTCAGCAAGTTCACTGGAATCAGTAATTTTCTGCTTCGGTGGCCGAATTTCTGCCTCCTGTCTCTCCCTCGACTCGCGGAGAATTTGCTCCGCGGTGATTTGAATCGGGGCAGGGGTTTTATTCTTTACCCGGGTAGGCCTTGGCAGCTTGACCTCCGTTTCTTTGCGGGTGAGGTACCCTAAATTTGGATCAGATTCCTTGTCTTTCACCATAGCTGCTGATTATAATAGAGGTGGAGTTCGGGAATTGTTTTCCGAGAACCTGATAGAGGATTATCAAAACTTATTTATCTTAGAGGTTTTTAAAGACTATGAACTAGGGTTTAACAAGAAACTATGAATTTTGAAACAAGACATTGTCAAGGCAAACATTACCTCTCGTCCTCTTTGGTCGCCGGTGCCCTTCAGCCGTGATCAGGCGAGTGGACGAGTGTTGGCTGCGGTCGCGAAGTGGAGAGGGCGGAGGGCGGAGGGCGGAGGGCGTGAGTGTCGTCGGACAGTGGCGAGGGCGGAGGGCTTGGCTGTCGGTTTGGGATTTTGGTATACGACTTACTGACTTAGGGAGTTAGGGTTGTTCTAAAAAAAATATTTATTAATTACGGAGTATTATTTTATTTATAAATTATAAATTATAAATAATATATATAGTTATTAAAAAAAGAGTAAATATCCAAAATGGTCCCTCGACTATAGCTAAATTCACAAACTGGTCCTCGACTTTCAATTTCAACCAATTAAATCCTTAACTTTGCAATTTTGACACAATTTGGTCCTCCATCTATTTGACCGTTTGTTGACCGCGATCTTTGAGGATATATATGTAGTTTCACGTGCAAAGCTCAAGAGAACGCTCTTGGAGGTGACATCGTTGTTTCGGAGGGGGAAGTGCTTCTCCGCTTGCTGCTTGGGGATCACGAGCCCGTTCAGCTTAGAGAACGCTCTTGGAGGTGACAGCGCCGTTTCGAAGGGGGGAAGTGCTTCTCCGCTTGCTGCTTGGGGATCCCGAGCCGGTTCAGCTTGCCTACATTGCTTGGAGTCACGGCTTTCTCGAAGAGCCACTCCAGGTCTCCAGGGACTTCGGCGATCTATCTATCAAAAGCTATAATCTCTCCGTCATGGGGTGCAGCGCCGGCAGTGGATTCAAATGTAACAGTGCAGTCTATAATTGCAACCGGAACCTTAAAAAACCGACGATGGACCATGAAATTACATATATATCCTAAAAAAGCGCAGTCAACAAACGGTCAAATAGACAAATGACCAAATTGTGTTAAAATTGCAAAGTTAAGGACTTAATTGGTTGAAATTAAAAGTCGAGAACCAATTTGTGAATTCAGCTATAGTCGAGGGACCATTTTGGGTATTTACTCTTAAAAAAACGATCAGTTTTCGGTCCGAACCAACCAAATTAATCGGTTTTTCTAAACCAATTACCGATCAGTACTTCGATTTAAGACCGTTCGAATCGGTTCGGTTCGAATCGATTCGGTTAAACCGAATCGAAATGTCCAAGCCTAACTGCTAGGTATAAAGCAAAAACTATTATTTACAATAGTAATTTGAGACTGCAAACAACAACAAGAAATTATTGTTTGTAACCTCAAATTATTGTTGCGAACGGTAGTTCGCTATTCGTAGTAATCTATTGTTTAAAAAAAAAATATTACGAATATAAACATAAAAAAAATAAATATATATATAAGTATTTATATGAATATTATGAAACATATAGTAAAATTTGACAATGATAGATGAAAAAATTTGTTTTGTTCCTGTATTTAGGGAGAATTAGATAAAGTTTAGAAGTTACAAAGAAAAGTTCGTACATAAAGTTTAGAAATTAAGGATAAAAAAATCATTGAAAAAAAAATAAAAATCAAAATAAACAAGCAATAATTAAGTAAAAATAATATTATTTAAAAAAAAAAAATAGGAAGATGGTAAAACTTAGGAGAGAAAAAAAATCGTAGAGTTTAGGTATGAAGAAAAAAAATAATTTTATTGAATTTAGATAGGTTTATAAAGTTTAAATAGGGAGAAAAAATAGAGTTTAAATAGAGAGAGAAAAACAATTACATGGTGTTTGGTTGGAGGGGGAGAATTATGTGGGAAAGGAATTGTAATTCCATGGGAGTTGAATTACTGGGAATAAAGTGGAAATTTAAATTCCAGTGTTTGGTTGATATGAATAGAATTACTGGGAATTTCAATTCCAATATTTGGTATACATGGGAATTGAAAGGGAATAAGTAGTATAAAGTCAAAAATGTCCATTATTGTTGTTAGACATTAATTTTAGGTTAAAAAAGGAAGGGGTAATTTTGACTCATCGCTATCTTTTTTTTCCGGGAATTAAAATCTCATGGGGGACATGGGATTTTAATTCCATGAAAATGGGGGAATTGCAATTCCATGGAATTGCAATTCCCTCCAACCAAACTACGGAATTTAATGGCTTTTGGAATTAGGTGGGAATTAAGTGGGAAGGGAATTTAAAATCCCTCCAACCAAACGCCCTGTTAATTCTCACTAATTCCAAATGCCATAAAATTTCTTCGTTTGGTTGGAAGGAATTGCAATTCCCCAATTTTCATGGAATTAGAATTCCATGTACACCTTCAAAAAAAATTCCATGTATCCCTGGGATTTTGGGAAGAAAAAAACTAGTGATGAGACAAAATTATCCCTCTTTTTTTAACCTAAAATTAATACCACAACAACAATGGACATTTTGGACTTTATACTACTTATTCCCTTTCAATTCCCATGTATACCAAATATTAGAATTGAAATTCCCAGTAATTCTATTCCTGTAAACCAAACACGGTAATTTAAATTTCCACTTTATTCCCAGTAATTCATCTCACATGGAATTGCAATTCCTTTCCCACGTAATTTCCCCCTTCCAACCAAACGCCCTGTCAGAGTTGGTAAAAAAAAAATTGATATATTGGGGTTGATGATTGTATTTCAACTATTTATATTTGAGAATGAAAAGTCAACAAAAGTCCTGAAATTAAAAAGTCTACAAAAGTTCATAACTTTTTGAATAATGACGACTTTTAAAGAATATTTAAAAGTCTTAATTGAATATGAGTATATGACTCTTTAAAAATGTTGATTGAATATCGTCTGACTTTATAGACTCCCTATAAGTTTGAATTGAAATAAGACTTGGGAATTTTCTATTATCTTAGACATGAAGATCGCAAACCCGTTGGCATTACTTAGGTTGATTGTGACTATACTATTAGGGTTGAGGGATTTGGAGGGCTTGTTTAGTCAAAGATCACGTCAGAGCTACATTCGGCCGACCTGAATTCAAATTCAGATTATGAGCCGAGCATTGAGTTTTTAGACTTAGATGATGATGGATATGTTGAGCGATTTGAGCACGCTAGGGGTGCAATGGAGCTCAAGTTCAAGAGAAGCACATAGTCACTATGAGTTTACGTATACATTTTGATTCTTGTTCAGCGAGTTTGTTCCATTTATTTGATGCTTTAGTTTGGATCAATCTCTTCCCTTTTGTATTTCTTACGTGGGAGGTTTAATAAAATGTTTGGATTTTTTTTTTTTTTTTTTAAAAAAAGCTGTATAAAAAATAAATAAAACATACCATGTACAATTTAATCCATCAAACAAAAAACAATATTCAATTCATAACATTCAATTAACATAATATTCGCCTGTAAATAAATTGGAGATATATAATTTATTGAAGTGTATTCTGATGAAAAAATGTTTAGTAAGCAAATCATAATACTTATAAATTATTAGGGTTCATTAAATTTGACTTTATTATTATGGAATATAATTAATTAGTTCGAGCGCGAGTTTAAATAACTCGAGCATGGAAAGAATGCAAGTATATTAGGAGACATATAATTGAAGAAATCTTCTTCTTTAATTTCTTCTCCTACTATCAATGGTGTAATAAGGCCAGAGACGTAAAATACAAGTTGATACTCAAATAACCAAATTAACTTTTCAATAGGAGCTAACGAAATCCATATATAAGGAACTAAAAGCACAAATTAAAAAAAAAATAATAAAAATGAAGGGACAAAAATTACATTTTAAAATTTTAAGGCAGGGTTTGAGTTTACATAATTTATAGACCAAAACTGTTACAAGTTTTTTCTTCTTTTATATTTGATAATTTTGACAACAATTTACTTATTTTTGTATTTTAATAATGAATATCAATTCGTTATCTCCTAGTATAATTTATAAATTAAACATGCTTATTTCATATATCTAAAATTTTTGAACTAAGCTCCAAAAATTCTACATATATAAAATGATTGTAGAACTTAAAAATATAACTATTTCTGTAATTGTTCCTATATAACCAATGCTATATATTTGATTGAGCAAAATGCGCTCTCAATATCACATTTAATTTAAGTTCATATTGTAACCATTAATGCGTTTTCTCTCTGATCTTCCTATATTCATCGATCATATTCCTAGTCAGACAATCATTATTGTATGGATCATAGTCTACACAATTGGACCATAAATAAAAAGTATAATTTTAATATACTAAGGGTACATTATTTTGTATAATGTACCTTTAGTACAAAAATAATGTACTTTTAATATAGGCTAAAATGTCATCCCACACCATGAACCAATCCATATTATTCATACCGCACCATGAGCTTTTATAAGTGATATTTCAAGACATAAACTAATTTATTTTTTCCATATAGCACTTTTTGTAAGTTTCATACAGGTTTCCTGTAATCTCATGCTAACATGGAATTTGTTATTCTTTAAAAAAAAATCTATTTTTTCGCGGCGGAAGCCATCTCAGAATTTTCGCCGCCTCCAAACATATGTTTCTCCATTATCATCTCCAACATTTGATGCCCTGAAATCTACACACGGATCTCTCGACCGCTTCACCACCGCCATGTTGTCCTTCATCTTTTTAATGTTTGTGTTTGTCCCCTGAAACACCATGATATGACTCTCCCTCCCAGAAGCATGCATAATAGTATATTCTATGTTAATGGGAATGGATATGTATGGGTTGGGATCAGAGCCAGAGAGCTCCGGCATCTTTAAGGAGAGGGATGAGAGTGCCGTTGATATGACAAGCCATGACGTCTCGATCCCGCCCAGGAATTTGTCGTCGACGAAGACGGCGAGAACGGGCTGGTGCTGGCTGCCGGGGGTTGATTGTTGAGGATTAATCGAATTCTGCAGGGCCCATGGTATTACAGTCTGTAATTAGCATCTTGTTCTTCCACCATGCATTTCCAAAGCTAGAATAATATATACGGTGTAATATAATATATTTTAATGGGTTAGTTCCACATTTTTCCATCAACTTTTTTCTTCTTTTCCCGTACACAACCGATCTCTAATATCCTCTTTCACTTTGAAAACTATATATCTTTTAACTTTGGCTACCAGATGCTCCAAAACTGCCGTTGAGGTCCCTATAACGGAACCAGGAGGCTCGGATTGAATGGCAAGATAGGTAGGACCATCGCCGGAAAGGAACCAAAATCGTGGGACCTGCTTCCTTGCTCACGTCACCGTC